CATATTATATTAAAGTAATTAATTTATTATTCGAAAATATTAGTTTAGTCCTGGACATCATCAAATGTATTATTTGTAGTGTTATGATATTACCCATAAACATTATTTTAATTATTTTATTTTTGACTTAATAGTCATCTTGTACAATAGCAAAAAAGTTTTAGTATGATCTAGAAGACTATGGTATTCTACCGTCTTTTCCCAATCAGTACAAATTGAATGTTTTTTAGATCATTCAAATCGGATACTCCGTAGCGGGGCTGAAGCTGCCTTTGCCAAATTCTAATCAGCACATCTCCCTATCAATAGGAATCGAATGTTTTTTAAACCATTCAAATCGGTTGATCCTTGAGCCCGAAAACGTGAACGGAAAAATGCGGACACACAAAACACACACACACAACCATTTTTTTTAGGGTTGCCAAATTGTTCAGAAACCTTTAAAACGTGGAGAAATGCAAAAACTTTTATTTTCGATTTTCGGCCCATTACTATAACTACCCTACGGGAAGTTAATATAAACAGTGGTGCAACGGTAGGCATTAACGCCTACCAAATTTCAAATAGATGGATTATTGAGGCTCCGTAAATTCATGGTATTCACTAGAATATTTTTCTAGCCTGCAGACCGCTGGTCTTCCGTCGGCCTACTTTCCAAGTCACTGCAGGCTATCACATTTTCTTGTCCTGACCACCATATTTCCGTCAGTCTTGACATCAGGGGATAACAAAACATTATGTCATGACATTTTATATAATTTTGGAATCTAGAATATAAATGAATTTTCAAAATTAAATGGGCTATAATATTTTAGTATTAATATTAATAATAATATTTTAGTATTTTTATCATCATAAATCTTTCATCAAAATCGTCAATTTTTTTAATAAGTAATTACATAGAAACGACCTGGCCGATCTTTGCCAAAAACTAATTTGCATGATTCTCAACTTTTGAAATTTCAGAACTTGGGCAAAACTAATCGATGCGAGACCATATCGAGCTACGTCGAATGGATTTTAATGTTTTGAAACACACATACATACGATTCAGAATGATTGGAAACGTCAAAAAACATAAAAATAGCAAATCGGATTTTTTGACGAAAACAAACTTTTTCAGGAATTATATATATATATATATATATATATATATATATATAATTAATTATATATAATTATAGTTTGCCATATAGTTAAAATTTTAATGTAAATGTAATACAATTATATTTAACTAACTGATTTCTTAATCACACGCGCACCGTTTCCGCTAAAACTAACATATCGAATATTGATTTTGATTTTATGTTTCCTGTAGGGTAAGTTAAGGGTATAAGTCCAAAAATCGATTTTTTTTAATTTATACGTTTCTGAACATTTTTGCATACCTTAGAAAATTTGGATGAGTGTGTGTTTAGTAGGTGTGTATTATGTATGTGTATATGTATATGTATGGGTACAATTTTTCGTCAACATTTTCGGGACCACCGCTCAACCGATTTGAAATATTCAAACATTCATATTGATAAGGAGTCGTGCTGATTAGTTTTTGGAAAAAGTTGGTGCAGCCCTTTCGAAGATACGGAGCAAACAGTGCCAATAATTAAATTTGTGAGAGAAAGGAGCATCCGATTTGAATGATTCAAAAAACATACCACTTGTATTGACGTTATGAAGAATTAATAAAGCAAAGGCAGATTTAGCGGTTTCGGTTATCCAGAAAAAAAGTTTTAAAAAATGTCTAAAAAATTATTTTGTAATTTGAATCAACCGATATGAATAGGTATCAAAAATTTTCAAAAAAAAAAATAAATTAGTCTTTATAAAATGTCCCAAGTTTCCAAAAAATGTATAAGTTTTCAAAAAGTATCTTTTCAAAAAAGACATTTTTTCAATATTCAGATTTGTCAAACTTTTCAAAAATTCAAAATTTTCAAAAATTCAAAATTATCAAAAAAAATCTAACTTTTTATTTCTGAGCTTTTAAAAGTTTTAAATTACGGTACCGAAAGTTCTAGCAATTTGCCTGAAGATACCGTGCCATGCACCACTGGTCCACTTTTTTTTATCGGATTAACACTTACGGGACGGCACCGATTTCAAAACAATCTACTGTACCGGCTGTAAACTTGATTTCATTGTGTATGTTATGCAATTTGTTTGATAAAAATTTGAAAGACATACATTTATAATATTAATTTATTTTTGATCATTTTATAAAGAATGGTGACGTTCAAAACAATTTCCAAAATGCATAGCTGATTGATTTTGACATGTTTTACAATAAAATTTTGTTTGCCGCCTTCCTCCTGCTGCTTTTCTATCAGAACAGTCAATACAATCCTTTTTTCTTTCTCTCGCATTTAGAATATGCCACTGATTAGTCAGTATATTTGTTCATTTTTGTGCTGCCATAATGGTTTGTTTTTTCTATTTTTATATTGTCAAATAATTCATTTGTAAAATGTAAAGTAAATTGGATGTCTTATATTGCTTGGTATGTGTAGTCTGGGTGTTTATTGATGTATGTCAAACTCGATTATTGAAGGAGAATCGGCATATTTGCTAAAGTCCTTCCGCTATTCATTTAATTTGTCGAACTTGTTCTTCTTTTTGTTCGTTGGATAATATCATCATTACTTTCATCACTATCTTCGGAAGTTCATGTAACTTGCCTCAAGGAAAAATATCAATACCAACTAGTTTCATTTTGGTTTTCTTTTCGCTTTGTGATCTAAATATTAGATAATTCTAATTATGATGTGATATATTGCAACAAATAGGGCTTACAATACCGGGATTCCGGACGATTTTTGTCCGGTATTCAATACCGGTATTGATACTAATATGCCGGTATTTCGAAATTACCAGTATTTTGATAAAAATTGAACTAATGCGATACACAAATTTTACACTGTGTATTGCCGACTCAACTCAGCCGATGACACATTGGCAAGTTAAAGCGATTGTTGATATTATAATTATATACGATAGCTACCTAATGAATAGAACCCATTAATAAAAATTATTATTCGTCCACGCGCATTGTCCTCATTTGATTTTTAAACATAATATACAATGGACACAATATAATTCTCTATATTGTATACCTTCCTGTCAATTATTCGTATTTATTTATTATTTTACTATAACGGAAATTAACTAAGTCAAATCATGAAATGATAAATAGTTAGATAATCAATGATAATATTGAGAAGAAATTTTTGTTTTTTTTATATTTGAAAAGGAAAAATTTGATTTTATTGCACAACAGTAACGAATTAATTTCGATTACAAAAATGAAGTGTTTTTTAGTTGAACTTCTCTAAGTAAATGATAGTGAATCTGCAAATTATCCGTTTCATTGAAGTGCTCTTTGGTAAACCACATTTTTTGTTTTTTGGTCTGACGCTAACACAAACCAAGCGGATGGCTTTCCAACTCGTGAGCAGGCAACGTATAACTGCCCATATAAAAAACAATGATTTTCTCAATAATATATTTGAAATTTATCCCGCAAACACTAAGCGATTGGCCTTGCGACTTGTTATTGCGAAAGCAAGGCAAACTGGAAATTGCAATCGTTTGAAGTCAAACGGAAGACCAGTCGGAATCATTGGTATGTCATCAAATCGCCAGCAATATTTGATTGAATGGTGAAATTCAGTGCGTGTACATCATTATTCTTTGTGGCAAGAATTTCTCGTTGACTTAACCAAGCATAATTCTGATAACTCCCACTAATGTCATTACTCGAATTTTTAATTACGGTGCGTGAAGTTCCAGCAATTTGCACTAAGGCACGATGCCATGCACCACTAATTTTCTTAGCTATAAACCTTGTGGAACCCGAGACCTTTCCGACGAATGCAAAATTGTCGAAATCGGTTTGTGAGTTCTGGAGTTATTTCGTCAGGGAGGAAAACCCGACATATTTTTAAATACATAGAAGATAATGTACTGATATGACAATTGTGGACAAGTGTAGAATGAGAAAAAGCCTTTTCAGCTTGTTTTAATCGTGCTAAAATTCGGCTCTCGCTTGAAGATGAAACTATTGATTGTTTATCTTTTTTAAGAGCATATTTAACAAAAAATATAAGCTATTAATTGAATTTTTTGTTTCCCTAAATATGTAATTCCATACGTAAAATATAGCATAGAAGTTTAATATATATTTTTTTACTTGCACGTTTTTTTTGTACCTATCTACTCCTATTCATAAAATAAATGATATGTACTCATTTTAGAAAAATAATAATGTTAATATGTTAATATAGCAACTGCGGTAATAAAAATATGACTAGTGAATTTTTCATTGACAATACCGGTATTAATACCGCAATCCTGGTATTACAAATGCCAAATATCGAAAAACGGTATTCAGATTTTAATGCGGTATGAAGTCCTGGCAGCAAATGTCCGGAAAAATTAATTTCTTTTGGAAATATATTTGGGTCTATATTTCCAAATAAAAAAAATACTACTAAAGCTACTGCTTTGTATCACGAAGAAACGGCCCGTACGATATTTGCCAAAAACTGTCATCACGTTTCCGAAACGGTATCTTTCGATCGGTTTTAGATTTTCGAAATCGGTTCAAGATTTTTTTTGCAAAAACATGAACGTATAATTTTACAATTTTCTGCTATTTTTAAATAAACGTCTTGCAAAGCTAACCATTCCTTATGGAATTTCATCGAATGTCATTTAGATTTTGGAAATCGGTTCAGGCGTTTATGAAAAAACGTCGACGAAAGGCCAAAAATCGACCAAGATACTTTTCCCATATTTGGTCACAAACGATTCAGAATGATTTAAAAAGTCGAAAAAACTTATTTGGAACGTTAATTAATAATAAATATAGTTCTATATATTTTAACTATATATTTAACAAAATAATACTATTAACAACCACAAATAAAAGTTTTGAGATCTAAAATAATAAAATATCTAACAATAACAAATTTACTAAAATTATCTAATTTGACTTTATGCAATCATAATTTCCAATCCCAAGGCAAACAAATTGTTCCATCGCTCAAAACTGAGTAATAATTTGTAACATGCACGGCAGAACCGCAAAGAAGATTCGTATCGATTATGCTAGAATTGATTTTTAATAATCTTTCTAAACAATTTATCATATTCTCAGGAGATATTGAATCATCTTTCGTTAAGCTTTCAAGACAGAAAGCTGTAACACAAAGATCCAAGAGATATTTTTCTTTATGTTTATTCCTGAAAGCAGGCCTCATATAAAAAATAAAGTTACATAATTTTAATTTACTGTTATATTCTCTTACTTGTTATATTCTAACATATTTTTTCTAGCTAGGTCTAGATTTTCTGATATAAAATCCACAAGCAAAGAACCAGGATACGAAGATGGTGTTATTATCTGGCCTGTTGGTGAAACCATCAATGGACCAGCTTCGCTGTAATATTATGTTTTAGTAAAGCTATTATAATTTTAATTAAGAGTTTATATAGCATGAAATAATTACCATTCAACAACAATTTCGAACTCCGATAATTTTTCTGGCCAGTGACTTGGATATTTCGTTTTACTTAAGAAATCTAGTAATGAAGTGGTAATTTTCCGTAAATGAGATGCATATTCGCTGGCTAATATTTTTGGCATATATTTTCTAAAACAAAATGAATTGATGTATTAGTTAGTTTTATGATTTTAAACGGAAAATTATATTTGAAGCCGTCTTTTTTAATTGGATGGATTAAGAGAAGTCCAACATGAACATTTCAAAGAAAGAACAGAACAAGAACAAGAAAAGAACAAAAATATTTAAAATTACAAATATTTCCAAACATATTTTATGTAAAGTATTTTATTGTGTGCTAATAATTTATTGGTAGAAAAAATATTAAAAGAATGAGAAAAATCAAATAAAAAAAATGATTTATATGGTAAATAGTTGGTGACTTATTTTTGAATAAAAATTTAGGATGTAGGTTCAAACAGAAACAACTTCGACCCCTGTATCTTCAGAGTGATTTATTTTATTGTTAAAATCTATTTGTAATTTATTTTGCTAGGTTTAGCACTATTTTATATATATTACATATTTATATAATATTAAGAATAATTTTATGGAATTCACTTCATTGTAATAATATACATTATACTAAAAGAAATAGTTATAGTACAGTATAGATTTTTAATTCAAAATTTGTACTAACCTTCTTGCAACTCTAATATCTCGCAAAACTTTTGACAATGCATATTCATGGGCAGGTATGTTTCTTAAAGTTTTTTCATGTGAGTCGACATTTTTGATTAACTATGATTCAAATAATCAAGTAATTATTAAACATTTCTTATATTTTCAATATGAATAACTCACTTCAAACCAGTTATGCCTCACTTCTCCACTATTTAGCATTACATGTCCATCAAGCGATACACCAGTAAATGGAGCAAAAACCAAAACGCGATCTATAATCGCACAAAATTGCAATATATACTATCTAAATGATCATGAAGAATTAATCACTTCTATACAATAATAATAAATCAAGTAAATAATGAAGTATTTAACCTTTTAAAACTTTTAGTGCTTTTGGGTGAAGATTGTACAGTCCCTGGAGGCTTTTGAGGCATCCTCGGTAATGTTCTATATTCCAACCACATTCCCATCTCAATTCAGATAATTGTAAATTGTTTATTAACTCATGCTAAAATGAAATATTCACTTAACACGTTGTAACTAAATAATTACTAATTTTATAAAGTAAATATTCACCTGAAGCCTTTGCACTTCTTCTTTTAATTCCTTCAAAGCATTATATCGCTTTTGGGCAATGGCACCATTTTTGGACAACCAATTTCTGAAATAGATTTAAAACTTTCATTAATAAATTAATAGCAAAACCACCTACGTGAGTATATGTAAGCAAATAAATCGTTCTCGTCCTAACAATTGCAAAATTAACACCAAATTTCGGATTTTCCTGTTCAAGATAGTTATTTAACTAATAACAGCCCAGTTTTACAATTTTTGATGCATTAAGCTAATTTACAAATAAACTCTTGGTTGAAAAAGCAACATAAGTAAGTAGAAATAATTTAAATGCACGAATTAACTAAGTGTGTTCCATAAATTTGAGCTTAAACAGAGTTACTATTTATTCCTTTTTCTTTTTGTTCAAAAGTTTAAATATTTTACTCACTAAATTAGATTTATGAATATTCTGTTTCGATTTATAAACAACCCTTAAATGCTTCTGAATTCACAATAAAGTTGACTAAATTAATATTTTTAAGAAATGCATTGATGATTTTTTTCCATAATATTTATGAATAGCTTTGTCTCAAACAAAGGTATAATGTAGGCATGTTACATATCTTTTATTTGTGCTATATAATAAAGTGATCATAAAAAGCTATATAATATACATACTTCAAACTTTCTGCCTCCTTCGCTTTCTGCGTAGCAAAAATTATATCAGCAAACAAATCTTTTTCAATATCATCAGTGTGTTTTGATTTGTATCTTCTGCAAAATAAAAATTTATTAACTTATTGTGCAATCTTATTATAAAATAATCATTACTTTACCTTTTAACCTCGTTAACAGTTGAGGATTTAGGTTTTTGTATTTTATCTAATTGATCTGTTGGTAATTTGCAAGCTCTAAGAATGCCTCTAATTGTAGAGTGTGTATTTTCCTGTGCATTGAGTGGAATATATACTAATAAAAATTTATCTGAAACAAAAAATATTTCAATATTTGCATACATAATATATTAATATACATTTGTACATCACCTCTATCAGAAGTTGTTCTTAAATAAAAAGGTAGTTTAGTCGAACGAATTGCTTTTCCTGATTGTAAACTAGTTAAAAATGAACTAAGTTGCTTCAACGAATTTTCATTGACGGACTAAAAGAAAGAATTATTTGAAATGTTATGTAAACACTACAAATGAAAGGAATACATTTTTTTATTACTCTTTGTTCTGGATGTTTTCCAAAGAAATCAGGGTGCACAGCAAAATAAAATGGCCTTAAAATAGATGCAATTTCGGCGGTATTCAAAAAACGGTATATTTGCTGGTACCATTTACTGGGACAGAAACTGTAAAAATAAAAATTACATTTGAAAAATGTTAATTAAATAATTTTATGGTGCCGTTTATAAACAACCTTTTATGAGTGAAAGTAAACATTTATATCACATAATTTACCCCACATGAATATATATATCTATTACACTTAAATTGCCAAAAATTGTAAGTTATTTTAAACTGACGTAAATTGTCGAATGGGTATTATTTTGTCAGCTGTTCATGTTTCATAATAAGTCGGTCGACATCTATTGTTTCAGTTTCAAACTGAAAATTGATGAATGTAAATAATAATCATAGATGTCACGATAGAAGTTTCAAACTGCTGTAAAGCTGTAAGTGGAATTCTGTCTTAAGGCAATTAGGGCATCGTGCCTTAAAGCAAATTGCTGGAACTTCCCGTACCAAAAATTTTTTTTTTAAAAAAAACAATTAACATTTTTGAAAAAAATTTACTTCGAAAAAATAAGATTTTTGAGAAACTATAAATTGGACCAAAAATTACTTTTTTTTGAAAAAAAAAGATTTAAAAAAAAAAAAATATTTTTTTTTTATTTTGACATATTTTGGAAGATCTAAACTTTTTTTCAAAGCAATCGTACTGCTTTAACTGCATAAAGACGAAATATCAAAGCGCGTAAGCGCCAAAAGTCGCCGTCTAACGCGTAAACATTGGTACGGAACCCATAGGACTGTAAACCAAATTCATACTTATTGTTAAAATCTCTATAAAATATCTGATAATTTGATATGCATAAGTCTAATGATCATTTTTGACCGCCAAATGGCATTTTTTTTACTTTTTTCATTAGATCTCCGAAACCGCTAGACCTGCCTTTATGAAAATTTGATCGGTTCTTCACCTAGTCAACAAAAGTAAAATGTTTTTTGAATTATTAAAATCGGACGCTCCGTTCTCTTAAAAACTGAGGTACCGTTTTTGGCACTTTTTGCCCCATATCTTCAGAACGGCTAGACCTACCTTCGCCAAAAACTAATCAGCACGTCTCCTTATCAATACGAATCGAATGTTCTTTAAATTATTCAAAATGCTTCATCAGTGTTCCCGAAATCGTCGACGAAAATTTGTATCCGCACACACATACATACACGCACGCACGCACGCACACACACACACACACACACATACATCCATTTTTTCTAAGGTATGCCAAATTATTCAGAAACCTCTGAAACGTAAAAATATATAAAAATTTTCATTTTCGATTTTTTTTGATTACTATAACTTACCCTAACAGGAAGTTAACTAGTGGGGCGCTTGGCATCGTGCCTTAAAGAATATTGCTGGAGCTTCCCGTACCGTATTTAAACATACGAGGGGGCAAAATAATCAGTCAACAAAAATGTCTATAAATAAATATTATAAAAACTAGAATTTTCATTATTTGTTCCCTGTAGACAAAATGTGAAAACTTATTAGATTAGACCATATTTGACGACGTTGTCTAAATATGTTTGAATTAAATGTATATAAACATAATCTAATTAAGCAGACTTATTGTTAGAATGAACCATAGATAAAAGAAGAGTATATGGAATGAACATATTTTATTTCAAATGCATCAATTTTTCGTTTGCGAAATATATGCATTGAGTTAACAATATGAAATAGTTCATGATGTAGTATCAACCAATACTTTTCTTTTATCTATGGTATCAACTATACTAATCTAAAACTAATCAGCACGTCTCCTTATCAATACAAATCGAATGTTTTTTGAATTATTCAAATCGGTTGACCGGTGTTCCTGAAATCGTCGACGAAAATTTGTATCGAAGCGCGCACGCACACACACACACATACTTTCATTTTTTTAAGGTATGCCAAAATAATCAGAAACCTTTGAAACGTAAAGATAAATAAAAGAATTTATTTTCAAATTTCTAGCAATTACTATAACTTACCCTACGGTAAGTAGATAATAATAGTGCAATCCATCCATTATTATGAACTTCCTCCGATCCTTGCACAAATCGCGCTTCTTATAGAGTTACATCAAATTACTTTGAAATGTCGAGAAAACAAAATTAGTAATCAGCTTTCAGACAAAACATACGTCTTCCAGAAGTATTATATATATATGATCAAAAATAAAATATGTGTAACCACATAAAAAATGAGTAGTTAACTACTATAAATAAATACGCATAAAATTAGCAGTGAATCATGAAATTAATTAATAATTGTACAATAGTAATATATATATATATATTATATATATATATATATATATATATATTATATTACTATTGTACAATTATTAATTAATTTCATGATTCACTGCTAATTTTATGCGTATTTATTTATAGTAGTTAACTACTCATTTTTTATGTGGTTACACATATTTTATTTTTAATCATCTGCACAGAGTATTCATGAATTTATAACTCTTTTTAATATTCTCTACAGTGTGGAGTCTACACGAAGCGAATACAAAAATTTTGTTTTTATGAAATAAAAATGTTATTTTTCATAATAAATATGTTTACTTCATTTAATAAATAGATTTAATTTTAAAAATTATTAAATTTGCATATCTAGGTATGTCCCTTGAATAGGTTTTTTAAATAATGAACTTTCACCATATACATCAAACATCCACTTGTCGAGTTCGATGTAAGCCTGAGTGTCAAATCGATAAAGTAGTTTGGAAATGGCCTGGAATATTATGACAATATTTTATGTAGCAATTATTACAAGATTTTATTCAAATTGCTTACCCTTGCTATTAACTCAGTACACTGCAAATGTTTTGTATCTGAAAAACAAATTATGTGTTTATAGATAGATATTGATTTATCTATTTTAATTTTGCATGTAAAGAATATTGAAAAAAATGATTGAGTAATAAATAAAAGAACAGAACAAAAAATCATTCAAATAAATCATTTAAGAATTGAACAAATGTATAATATTATATATGTATCAATTTTATCACGCTTTTTGTAAAATTTTGTATGTATATTGCTAAATATGTGCTTTACCTTCTATATCACAGAATAAATTCGATAACAATATTTCAATAATTTTTCCACGTATACATAACCAGTTTTCACCAATTGCTGTTAGCAAGTTGCATAACTGTTCTATTATTGCAATATCATATAATGCTACATTGGAATTAACTATTATTGGTTTCTCTTCATTGTCTTTATTGAAAACATTTTTGCACTCAATGATATCGTCAACATTCATTATCATACTCGAATTATTTTCATCAATTATATTGATATCAGTTTGAAAATCACTTTCCATGCATTCAATTTTAATTTCATCATTGATAATTTCTGGTTCTCTTTTTATATCAATGCTGCAATTTGCATAATCATATACTGTTGATTTATTTGATGAATTTTTATCTGTATGTAAAAATAGTATTTGGCTTAATTGCTGTACTACATGATAAAGCTAAAATCAAATATCAAAATTTAAAAATGTATAAGTAAAAGAAATTATAAAAATATGAATCGAAAGATTTTACATACTTCATTATAGACAGAGGCTGTCCTTATTAATCGATTATTAGACAATGCTTGAAGTATTAAAAGTACTCTGTGATACATAATTTCAGTTACATTCAACATTTGACTATTGTTTCTATCGTTTGTCAATATTTGTAAATAGTTTTTCAGCACTAAAGCACATAAAATTAATAAATTTGGAAGAATAGGTTCAAACTGTTCTACTGTTCTTAATGTATGTAAGCATTCTTTTCAGTGTTTTAGTAGAACCAGATAATAGGCCTAAAAGTATAAACATTTTATTTAACAAGTAAATTATGTTTACAAATTTATACACACACACACATATATATATATATATATATATATATACTTAATATTGTATATATACAGAACAACAATACCTCTGCTAATTTTTGTGTAAAATGTTTGTATTAAAGCAGTATCCTGTTGCATTTGAAAATAATTTACTTTCAATCCCAATTGACTAGTTTGTTCAAAGATGATTTCCTTTTGTATCTCATTCAAAATATCGATTATATGATCCTAAAAATATTATTAACTATTAGTAATAAAAATCAAATATATCAAAATAGTATCTTATGATTTCTGTTTACATAAATATCACATTGTGCAACTTTGCAAAAAAAAAATTATAATCTGAAGCCCCAGCAATTAAAACATTAAAATCATCTGATCTATGAAGAGTAAAAAAGTAAACCAAAATATGTTATTACATATTATTAATTTGATTTGATTTCATACTATCATACTTTCACAAAATAATGGGGTTCTGTATCCTTTTCAAAACCTATATTTTCATAAAATGGTTTGGACGATCCCAACACAGCTGGAACATCAGAAGATCTTATAGCATCATTAACTATATCAGTTGTCACAACCCCACCTGTGGGGTGTGCATATGTTTTTATATTCTGAAAGTGAAATTAATGCAATTAAAGAATTTGTAAATAAATTAAAGAGCAAATATGAGTTTACTTTACATGAACTAATTCATATAATTTATAAGTGGCATCATCAGCAAGTCTAGCACAAAATTCTGAAGAAAGTTTCAGATCATCCGAATATAAAAATTGTTCAGCAAAGCATTCAATTGTATCACTTTTAAAAACCGCGAATTGTCCCTAAAATAAATGAAGTATTTTAATTGCTACAATTTGTTAGAAAAAATTAATATTAGCATATACTTCTGTTGAATCGTTGTCTCGTTTCACATCATCTTGATTATCCGAAGATGTTGATTTTGTATGCTTTCGGCTTTTTGTAGTTCCTGACTTTTTATGGTTAGTTTTGCTTGTTGATGGAGATGTTTTATTTACGTGTATCATGTTGAAACTAAAGATAATTTTAATGCTGCAACTATGAAGTTTTTCTTTGAAGATATATTCATATATTTACATATATATATATGCCTTAAATTTTCATAACCATTAAAAACGAATTGTAAATGACAGATGTAAAATAACAGATAACAAATGAAAACCTTCAGTGTTACCAACTGGATCATAAAGCAGAACAGCAACGCCGGAAAAAACTTTAAAAAATACTAGACGGAATAGATGGAGGAAACATAGAAAACTGTAAATACATGGTAAATACATAGATTAAAGAAGAGTATGTGTAAACATAGATAAAAGAAGAGTATAAGTGTGTAAATATCAAATTAAAAAAATTAAATCTAGTTTCATCTTGCTATCATTTATTTATAGCATATAACTAGGTTGAAAGTGGCATTTAGCCTTAAGGCGAGTTACATTAACTTCCCGAAATGAGTAAGAATTGACTTAATCAATCTAAATTAAAATTTAGATAAAATTTTCAAAAATAAAATTATCGCTTTCAATTAAATCTGAACATTGCGATTTCGAATAGAATATTCAAAAAAAGGTTTCTAAAAATCGGCATTTTTTTTTTCAACAGTTAATTTCAAGAAAATAGCCCGGTAGATTTTCACCAAAAACTAATCAGCACGATTCCCAACTAATATCTTTCGAAAGGTTTTTGAATTTTTAAAATCGATTCAAAATTGCGGGCTAAAATGCGTAGACGAAAAGTTACTCACTTTTCTACTATTAACAAAGAAACGGTTAGGCTGATCATCGTGCAAAATTGATAAACGCTAGCCCTCATCGGGATACATAAAAAAAATTAAATTAAATGGTATTAATTTTTTGAAATCGATCCAACCGTTTTTGAGAAAACGTCGATATGCGGCAAAAAAATCTGTTCACACACACAGACACGCACGCATACTTTTTCCAAATTCGGTCTCATTCGATTCAGAATGGCTTGAAACGTCGAAAAAAAAACTTCTCCTTCGGGAAGTTGATGATGGTAATAAATCATGAAAAGGTTGGAAATTCATGTAATCAGTCAAAGTTTTAATTAATCAATAATTATAAAGATAAATTAAGTAAACTAAATATTACCAAATAATATTAGTTTCGTTTAAAAGCTAATATTGCAATTCTTCAGAAAATGTGACCAGCAATTTTTGGAGAAGTTCATTCATAGAACAGTTTAATATTTTTTTCATTTATAAAAACTAAAAAAATATAACTATGATAGCATTTTTCAAAAGAAATTATTAAGAATGAAAACAATTATGATCTCAAACAGTTTATTATATTCATTACAAGCATCCTAACTTCATAATCTAACTAAAAGCGATCATGACTGTCCCTCAACATTGGTTTTACCAAGAGTTTTCTCCTTATTCCTTTCATTACATGTTTTTCTAAAGTTTCCAAATATTGTGATTTATTTTCTTGCTTAAATCAAAGATCACATAACTTTTTAAAAACTTTAGGATCCTGCTCCACCTAAAATACCAGACATATTAGTTAGGTTTTTTTTTTCTTCTAGAATTTTTAAAAGTTGTGTTTTGTTTCCTTGCTTATCAAGCCAAAGATCATATAACTCTTCAAAAGTTTTAGGTTTCTTCAAGATATTGGACACCAAAGCTAGATCTACTCCATTTTAATTTAGAGTTTTTAAATATAGTGTTGTACTTCCTTGGTTATCAAATCAAAGATCATATAACTCTTTAAACGTTTCAGAAGTTGACCCCTCTGCCCCATTCAAATAGTGGATATTCAAACTAAACCTCCATCACTGTTCTTACAATTACTTGCTTATCAAACAAAAGATCATACAACTCTTTAAAAGTGTTTGGAGCTAGACCTACTCCATTGCCTTTTAGAGTATTTAAATATTGTGTTTTATTTTCTTCCGCATTAAACAAAAGATCAAAAAATTCTTTAAAAAGAGCATTAGATACTGATATTCAAACGAAACCTCCACTGTTCTTTCAATTGCTTGCTTATCAAACCAAAGATCATACAACTCTTTAAAAGTGTTAGGAGCTAGACCTACTCCATTGTCTTTTAGAGTATTTAAATATTGTGTTTTATTTCCTTCTGCATTAAACAAAAGATCAAACAATTCTTTAAAAGGAGCATTAGATACTGCTCTACCCGCTCTACCTAAAATACTGAACCTATTAGAAAGTTTTATTGACTCCTTTTTTAGAGTTTTTAAATATTGTGTTGAGTTTTCTTGCTCATCAAGCCTAAGATAATATAACTCTTTAAAAGTTTTAGGAGGCTCAGATCCAGATGAACCTAAAAATGTGGAAACATTAGTCAGATTTATTTCTTCTCCTTTTAGAACTTCTAGATATTTTGTCCCTTCTCCTGTAATTAAAAAATCTACAAACTGATTAAATGCAAGCAAAGTGTTTCTTTTCTACCAACCACCCTTCTAGCAAATTTTTTTCTCCATTAGACAAATCCTGTTTAGGTTCACCTTGTAAATTACTAGGAAATACCGAATCTTCATTACTAATAACATTTATATCCTTGTGCGCCCTATTTGGTGCTTTATTATCTTTATTCATTACATTCTTCTTGTTTTATGATTTTCCTTATCAGTACTCCTTGAAGAATCATTTTGTTATGTGAAGAATTTTCAATATCTGGCAATAGTATAGAAATATAAAATTGAGAAATATTTGAATTAGACCTACTATATTACCATAAACTTCTTCTCTAGAAACTTTTATGCTTCTCTTTATATCTTTTTCCATATTACTGAGAAGTGGTACATAGTGGTTCCTATAATTCACTATGTAAATAATATTTTCTGTACCTACCTTACTGTTAACAACATATGTTAACCATCTATCTCTTCATCTAGCAATTAAATAAATCTTACTTTTATGCCATACTATTTACAGATCATTTTTATCCTTCAATTTATGGTCTTCTCCGTATTACATTTTCTAACTTTAGAATTTTTATTTCTGAACTACAGCTTGTATTTTCAATGCCTTCTACAAAATTCAATACGCAGAATATATTTACAAAGTTTTTTACCTTCTCCCTTTAAAGCACTATGTTATCATTAACCAGTGATTGAATAATTTGTTTTGCATATTGCTTACAATTTACTCGTAAGGATTTTAAATTAAATCTTGTATTACCTTCAATCATACCTTTTATGTTTTAATTCGTTCAATACTTAAGGTATGGAATCAAAGAAACAATTCTCTTCCCCTATATCAGATCCTATCTTAAAGCCCGTATGCAATTTTTTCCTTAGCGTCTCTAAAAGTTGATAAAGCTTCTTTTCTTCCTCTTCACTTCGCTTTTGCATTTTTAACCTACTGAAAATTGAAATAGTGCTCTTACTATTAGGAGCACACCTATAGAGCACACATTATTGTAGTGTCGAGAACTAGTAAAATCACTAGACCTTTTAATCCCTGCTATCATATTGACTCACCATAGTAAACTATTCACATGATAGTTGAGAAAAAAGTTGAAAATGAAAAATGGAAAGTTATCTTTTTATGACTTACAATATAAGTATATACATGTTATATATTTCAATATTTTTTGTCATTAAATTAATAATATAAGTAATTGCTTTTGTTAAATTTACAATAATAACTGAGAGAAAAGTTTTTTTCGAATCGTGTGGTATAAGCGATTATATACTCAAATGATACATTTTACATACCCTCATTTTATCCCTTTACTACTCACTAGGAAATACCGAAGGTTACAAACATATTATTATAATGTCTAGGTATATAAACTAATGTAACCTAACCTAACTTACATGTCATGCTTTTCTTTTCACAAGTTACCAGTGATACCATCTGTGAAGGAGCTGGAATTTCTCTCCAATAAAATCCAATAAAATTTCGTTAAATCGGCTACCGAATTTGAAAAATAATTATTAAATACAGTGGTTTTCCATCCCCAGACAATAACATAATGTATTCAAGGTGGTATTTCTACTTACGAGTGCAATGACCCAACATACGAGTGTTCCGAGAGACAAGCCGCTCGAGGAGCGATTCGTTGCTTCGATGTACGAGCAAAATTCGACATACGAGCTATGCGTGAGTAAGAAGCACAACGTGAGCTTATAGGGGTGCGAATGAGACAGATTTATCTGGCAGCGGTGTAATCGGTGGACGTATCGCTATTTCTCTTGCGTAATATTAATTGTGCCTTTATTCTTGTGCATTGTGTCAGAAATAACTATATATATAAATGTGAGTATATTAAGAATAATTGTAAAAATTGAAATTTTAACTATATGTTAAATTGTGCTGTTATATAATGTGAGTACTTCATGCTTCTTGTAACAATTTATTTACTTTTACCATGGGTCCAAAAAAAAGGGCCATGTCTATTGAATTAAAGCGGGAAATTATTGAAAAACATGAACAAGGTGTGCGAGTAGTGGACTTGGCGAGGATGTACGAGCGTAGCACCTCAATGATATGTACTGTTTTGAAGCAAAAGGAGTTGCTAAAGAGTATAACTCCAGCTAAGGGCGTTGCAATAATTTCTAAGCTTCGGAGTTCTGTTCATGATGAGATGGAGAAAATATTGTTGGAATGGATGGCCCAGGAGCAGTTTGAAGGAACTACTCTAACACAAAGCATCATATGTGAAAAAGCGCGAGCGATTTACGACGAGTTGCTTAACCAGATGCCAAACAATTCCACAAGCGGAGAACCGGAAGACTCATTTAAAGCTAGTCGCGGCTGGTTCGACAATTTCAAAAGAAGAACCGGAATTCAATCAGTAGCCAAACATGGTGAAGCTGCGAGTTCGAACATGAAAGCAGCTGAGGATTATTTCAAGTTTTCAGATTTGATACACACCAAAGGATACATACCTCAACAAGTCTTTAAATGTGACGAAAATAGTTATGTAAATACAGAAGAACAGGAGCTGATAAAGGACATAACACCAGCTAAGAGAGTTACAATCATTCCTAATCTTCAGAGTTCTATACACGAAGAGTTGGAGAAACTACTGATGGTATGGATGATACAGAAGCAGACTGAAGGAACTACTTTAACACAGAGTGCCATATGTGAAAAGGCGCGAACAATTTATGACGAGCTGCTTAACCAGATTCCACACACTTCCACAACCGTAGAATCGGAAGACTCATTTAGAGATATACGTGGCTGGTTTGACAAATTTGAAAACAGAACCGGACATGGTGAAGGGGCAAATTCGAACATGAAGACAGCTGAGGATTGTATCAACAAATTTTCAGATGTGACACACACCAAAGGATACATACCACAACAAGTTTTTAAATGTGACGAAACGGAACTTTTCTGGAAAAGACTGCCGAATAGGACTTACATAACGATAGAAGAGAAGTCGATGCCAGGTTATCACCCCATGAATGATCGGTTAACTCTAGCCCTATGCGCAAATGCGAGTGGCGACTATAAAATTAAGCCACTATTAGTTTATCACTCAGAGGATCCCACAGCGTTTAAGACGCATAGAATTTTGAAAGAAAAACTTAACGTTATGTGGAAAGCACATCCGAAGGCGTGGGTTACCAGAAAAATCTTTGTTGAATGGATAAACTTGGTATTTGGACCTTCTGTTAAAAAATATCTGCTTGAAAACAATCTACCGGTGCAAGCACTTCTTGTCCTAGATAATGGCCGTGCTCACCTGTCAAATCTTGAAGATGATTTACAAATAGATTACAAATTTATAGAATTTTTCTACCTGCCACCGAATACTTCTCCTATCCTCCAGCCATTCAATAAACAGGTGATTTTCAATTTTAAAATGCTATACATTAAGCACATTTTACGGCGTTGCTTTGATGTGACAGACAACACAAACTTGACACTTAGAGAATTCTGGAAAAACCATTTCAATATAGTGATCTGCCTAAAAATTATAAACCAGGCCTGGCAGGATGTTACAACGAGGACCTTAACCTCTGCATGGAAGAAGCTATGGCCGGAGATTGTAGGTGAAATGGCTTTCGAAGAATTCAAACCAGAAGCTGCGGTGGTAGAAGAAATTGTATCTCTGGGTAAATCCATGGGATTGGAGGTCGATGAGAAAGATTTAAACGACCTGGTCGAGGAGCAGTCTCAGGAGTCAACAGTTCAGGAGCTAGATGAGCTACATTTACAGCAGCAAGTTAAACAAGAAAATATTTCCGAGGACGAACAAGAGATGGAGAATGTTATGTCTACAGAAGACATCAAGGAAATATTGGAAATGTGGAACAAAATTGAAAAGTTTGTGGATAAAAATCACCCCGAAAAAGTTGCAACTGCTCGAGCATCAGAGTTGTTTAACGAAACATGTCTAACTCATTTCCGCAACATCATGTCGGAGAGAAACACACAATGTCCATTGGATAGTTTCATTAAATGCGAAGATCAATAATGATAATTTATTAATCTTTATTAACTTCCCGAAGGAGAAGTTTATGTTTTCATCAAAAAATCCGAATCGCTAATTTTATGTTTTCTCGACGTTTCGAGCCATTCTGAATCGAATGAGACCAAATTTGGAAAAAGTATGTGTGTGTGTGTGTGTGTGTGTGTGTGTGTGTGTATGTGTGTGTGTGTGTGTGTGTGAACAGATTTTTTGCCGTAAATCGACGTTTTCTCCAAAACGGTTGGACCGATTTCAAAAATTTAAAAGCCATTTGATGTATCTCGATGAGGACTATCGTCTCTGAGTTTTGTGCGGCGATCGGCCGGGCCGTTTCTTTGTAAATTGCAGAAAAGTGAAAAATTTTTCGTCCACGTTTTAGCCCGCAATTCTAAATCGATTCTGAAAATTCAAAAACCGTTCGATAGATATTGGTTGGGAATCGTGCTGATTAGTTTTTGGTAAAGATCGGCCGGGCCGTTTTCTTGTAATAAAGTTTAAAAAAAAAAAATTTTGACAATTTTTATGATTATTTTTTTGACGATAGATACCACAGTCTTCTAGGTCATACTAAAATATTACGGCCCTACGACAACTGGTTCAGCTTTAAAAATTCGTCAAAGTTTGCAAAAATCAGTATGGTCTTTTTGGCATTTGTCAAAATTAGACTTTTGATCGACGTTTTCTCAAAAACGCCTGAACCGATTTTAGAAATTTAAAAGCCATTTGATGTATTTCGGTGAGGACTATCGTTTGTCAGTTTTGTGCAACGATCTGCCAAGCCGTTTCTTCGTAATTTGAAAAAAAGTGTTGAACTTTTCGTCCACATTTAAGCTCATCCTACCGAACCGATTTTAAAAAATCAAAAACTGTTCGAAAGATATTAGTTGGGAATGATGCTGATTAATTTTAGGTGAAAATCTACCGAGCCGTTTTCTTGTAATTAAATGTTGAAAAAAAGTGTTAAATTTTCGTCCACATTTAAGCTCATCCTACCGAACCGATTTTAAAAAATCAAAAACTGTTCGAAAGATATTAGTTGGGAATGATGCTGATTAATTTTAGGTGAAAATCTACCGAGCCGTTTTCTTGTAATTAAATGTTGAAAAAAAGTGTTAAATTTTCGTCCACATTTCAGCTCATCCTACCGAACCGATTTTAAAAAATCAAAAACTGTTCGAAAGATATTAGTTGGGAATGATGCTGATTAATTTTAGGTGAAAATCTACCAAGCCGTTTTCTTGTAATGAACTGTTGAAAAAAAAATTGAAGCCGATTTTCATGGAACTTTTTTTGGCAATATACATCATGGTCTTATAGAACTTACTGTAATGCTACGGCCTTACAACAAGTAGTTTAATTTTAAAAATTCGTCAAACTTTGCTAGAATTATTATCGTTTTTTTTTAAAGTAGGATTGATGAAGTATATTATTTACACATTTTTTTGATCAAGTCGATTATTTACACATATCGGGAAGTTCATGTAATTTGCCTCAAGGCTAAATACCAAACCAACTAGTTTAAATATTTGCTATGCATAACATGTATTTAGTCTTATCAATAAATGTTTTATTTTGCAAATTTATTTTTATTATTCAAAAAACTTCAAACTAATTCAAAAATCCACTCTGCTGAGTGCTGGTTGAATAAATGGCATTTCAATGTATTTGAGAAAGTTACTTTGAGATGCAATCAATTCGGCATTAGAGCGTGGTTACGAGGTACCACTGTATAGACTTATTTTTTTTTATTTTTTTTATTTATTCATGAATCAAATGAAAATTTAATCAACTTGGATATACGCTAATTTTAAGATCTACATTTTGCAAGTAAATAAGTTATTCGACTCTTCGACTTAAGGAAATTTAATGGCTCACTTAAACGTCAATAATGGCTATATGATGATTATAACAATTCGTTTTTATGATAAAATGATGATCGTTTATTAAAAAAGTTTAATTATACCTTCAACATTGATTACATTGATATCAATTCTCAATCATTTCCAAAGGTAACGCTCATATATTGTGTTTTTATTTTTTTATTACGTATTCCATTTTATTTAATTTAATTTTTTTAGCTCTGGATTTTTATTATATGTAACATAAATTTAATGAATAACTCATATAAATTTAAATAATAAATTATCATTTGTTAACTTCTCGAAGGAGAAGTTTGTTTTCGCGACAGTGTTTCAAGACATTCTGAATCCAATGAGACCAAATGTGGAAAAATTATGTGTGTATGCATTTATGGCTAGTTTTGGACCAAGATCGGCCAAGCCGTTTCTTCGTAATTGACTGTTAAACAAAAATCTCGATGATTTTAATGTTACTTGGTATGGCGAAAAAATATCAGGTCTTAATGACATTATAATTAGTCCTACGAAAACTGGTTTAATTATAAACCATTATTAAAATTTGAATTATTTGACATCGTTTTCATAAAAAAAATTTCTTATTTGCATTAGACACGCGTCCGATTTTCAATAAACAACTCGGGATACTTATAAATAACTTATAAATTAATATATTGATTTATTATTGACTAAGTCGGTTATTTTCGGTCGATTTATTATTGACTATGTCGGAAAGTTAATGTAACTTGCCTTAAGGCAAAATGCCACTCACAACTAGTTTACTATTTTATGCTTAATTTTTGGTTTGTTAACAAATAAATATACTAAACTAGAATCACCGGGTACAGAATGGAGCAATATCATTCTTTCAAAATCTGTTGAAAAAAATTAGAAAAGCTAAAAAACTACTTTTTGCGTTTTATTATTAGATTTTTCAAATACATATAGTGAGTATTTGCTAAACATAGTCAACATAAATTAATGCATAAATAGAATTACATAAGTTCTAATTTTACCATGGAAATTCTGGATGATTCTGCACCCTAAAATTTAAAAATAAATATTTTAATAAGCATGAGAAAAATTCTATGTTGAAATTAGATTTGTCTTTATGTTATTAAGTATAACTTAAGCCGTTTCAAAATAATATCGTAAAATGTTTCTACTAACCCTTTGAAGAAACTGAAATCACACACTCGAATTCCTCTGTCCAAAGCATTCAAATCAGCTTCATCAATCGGATCCAACTCAAAATCAAAAATGTCAATATTTTGCTTTAGGCGATCCTCATTAGTGCTTTTAGGAATTGCAATTAAACCGCGCTGAATAAGCCAACGAAGTAATATTTGTGCTGATGTTTTTGAATGCTTTTCTGCTATGTCGACGACAACCGGATTGCTCATCAAATCAGGTACTTCTTTGCTGTAATATGTTAAACATGTAATAATAAAGTCAAATCAGATGCTTTGGATATTTTTGGGCAGTCAGGCATTTTGTCATTTTTAGGTTGACAAAGGAGAAATTGTGTTTTCGCCAGGAAATCAGAATTGCTTATTTTATATTCTCTCAAATCATTTCAATTCATTCTGAATCGTTTGAGATTAAAATTAGAATAAGTATTTGCGTGTATGTACGCCAAAATTAGATCTTAGAATTGACATTTTATCAAAAACGATTGCATCGATTTCAACAACTTTAAATCCATTTGATGAAAGTCAATCAAGAATCGGGTTGATGTTTTTTGCGCGGCGATCAGCCGAGCCGTTTCTATATAATAAGCAAACTAGTGGTGCTTGGCATCGTGCCTTAAGACAAAATGCTAAAACTTCCCGTATCGTGATTTAAAATTTTTAAAAGCATTAACAATTTTTGAAAACTTTGAAAAAATAATTTTTCTCCAGGAAGTTATCTCGTAGTAATAAGTTCAAAAGTTTTCGTCTACATTGAACAAAATTTTCAAAATAATAAAATATTAACATCTAGAAAAATTCGCTTGTGCAATACGATTAATACAACTAGTAATATCATAAGTTTTTCATAATAGCGAAAACTTCATTTTCAAAGTAAACAGTTGAAAAATATATTTAATTACCTAAATTTTGATTATCGGAAAGTATATTCCATGCAACTTGCAAGGTGTAAGTGGCATTATGCCTTAAGGCAAATTGCAAAACTCCTGATATTTGAAAGTAATCGACTCAAACAATACGAATCGAGTTCAGGCAACTTTCAAAATAGTGACTATAAAATTTTGAAATAATTAATAAATAATAAATATTTCAACGAATAATTACGAATAAGTAGTCCGGCCGATTTTTACCAGAAACTAGTTAGCATGATTTCAAAATGGCTTCAAGATTCTTTGCGAAAACGTTGACGAAAAATGTAGCTTTTTTCTACTAAGTTTAAAAAAACGGTCGGTCGATCGTCTCGCAAAACTAATCAAATTTTCAAATATTATATAAATGAAATCGGATCCAAAGAGTCGACAAAAAGACAATTTTGAACATTCTGTAATCACCAAATTATTCATGAATATATTTATATATATTTTTTTTGTTTTTGGCAGAAAACTTAGTGGAACGTATCCATAGTTCCAAAACATTGTTAATTAAACCAGTTAGTAATTAGTCGGTGGCCATTTGTACGTATTAGTCTGATTTCTAGAAAGCTAATCGAGTTCATTGTTTTGAAGAGCAGTTAATTAAAAGAAGATTCGCTGAGGGGTTGTTTTTGCAATTGCATAACGACAGGATCATAAACAAACGATTCGACAACACAGCCCTGAACGAAACAAACACGTGGTTCCTAGATAGCGTGTCAATATTTCTTAAAAAATGACAAGATCCCATCGCTTTTTAAATTTCTCGTAAGATTTCGACACATGTTAAAAACTGCTTCAAGAAAAAATGTGACATTTCTATCTTATACTCCGATTAGTAAATACATAATGTCGATAACTTGTTAAGTTATCATGTTTATTTGTGTGTTTTACCATCTGTGATGTTAAAAAATACACATTTTATCAATGTTTTAACATGCTTATGCCATGGATTAATAATGTTTTCATATGTTATAGTAGGATACAAAATTGTAAGAGTTTTATTATTATTATTATTATCGTTGTTGTTTTTATATGAATTTTCTTACATATTATTTATTTAGTTTTAATTTCTATAGTTAAATTGATTGCCACTAAATTAAGGCTAAGATGCTAGCCGAAACGTATGGATTTTAAATAAATAAATTTCTAAAAACTCTCATACTATTTTTATTGATGTAACGCTCGACTTTTTAACTCAAATTATATATATATATATATATATATATATATATATATATATATATTTGTAAACTTACTCTACGCCAGCATTGGCTAAAAGAGTGGCAATACCCCTCGAGCCTAAAGGAGAATATGCTGTAACTGCTATATCATTTTTCTTGCAAAATTCTACCAAAGGTTTTTGTTGCAAATATACATGTATCTCTATCTGTAAAAAAAAATAATAAAAATGGTTTATAAAAATTGATATTGACAAGATTATTGGTGATCTTAAATGATGTATAGAAGTTTTGTTTCAAATAACTCCTGGTATGTAATATTCTCAATGTTAAATCTCCGGTAATGAATGTTCAGTATAATATACCTGTAAGTTTGATGGTTGTATTCGTGCATTGTCTATAATTCTGCTCAACTGCTTCTCATTGTAGTTTGAAACACCAATGGATTTCGTTAGTCCTTCATCAACCATCCTTTCCATTTCCTAAAAAAATTGATATAAAAAATTAATGGAAATATATGATACAAGAGCTGAAGTACTTGTATACCTTCCACAAGGCCAAATGGTCGGTTTCTAAATCAAGTTGAGGTGCACCATCTCCATCAGGTCCCGGTGGTAATAATCCAAACGGAGTATGAAGTAAGTACATATCTACATAGTCTAAGCATAAATCTTCTAAGGATTTTTTAAAAGTTTTTTCTAGCAAATCCGGGCGCATTGCTTGAATATAACATAAATGAATAATAAACATTGAATATTTCTTTCAAATAAATTTTTATTGCTAATTACCAAAAGGTGGCAATTTTGTTACAATAAAAAGTTCCTCTCTTGATCCTCCATTTTCGATCCAGGCAGTTATAGCTCGTCCGACTGCTTTTTCATTCAAATACACTGGTGCACAATCGATATGCCTGTAGCCCACATCTAGGGCTTTACTAACTGCCAATTCGACTTCATTTTCAGGGGCCTGGGTGAAAAATAATTTATGAATTATCTTACAAATTTCACAAATAGTGTAATCATGTATCTACTAATTATTATATGAAATCATTAAAGTGCATATAGATATAAAATATATTTAAAAAGTAATAAAATAAAACTAGTTGGTATTGGTATTTTCTCTTGAGGCAAGTTACATGAACTTCCCGATGTGTGTAAATAATCGACTTAATCAATAAAATATAGATTAATTAATGAGTAATTGAAAGTATTCCGAGTGGATTTATTACACATAATTGAACATGAACGATCACGTTAACTCGGAGAATTTTCTAGAAGCAAATTTTCAAAAATCAATCATTTTTATAATTGAACCAGTTTCCGTAGGACTTGAATGGTTTAGTATGTTCATTAAGACCAAGTACTCTATCGTTGCACCAAGTACAACGTCTAATTGTAATTTTAACAAACGTCAAAAAAACAACTTATTTTCTCAAACTTTGATGAATTTTTAAAATGAAACTACTTGTCGTAAGACCGTAATATTTCAGTAAGTTCTATAAGATCACTAATATCTTTCGAACAGTTTTTGATTTTTTAAAATCGATTCGGTAGTATGAGTTTAAATGTGGATGAAAAGTTTAACACTTTTATCCAAATTACTAACTAACGGCGGATCACCGCACAAAACTGACAAATGATAGTCCTCATCGAGATACATCAAATGGCTTTTAAATTTCTGAAATCGGTTCAGGCGTTTTTGAGAAAACGTCTATGAAAGGTCTAATTTTGGCAAATGCCACAAAAAACGATATCAATTTTTGCAAACTTTGAAGAATTTTTAAAATTAAACGACTTGTCGTAGGGCCGTAATATTTTAGTATGATCTATAAGACTATGGTATCTACCGTCAAAAAAAAATAAAAACCGAAAAATGTTTTTTTTAACACTTTATTCCAAGAAAACGGCCCGGCCTAACTCTAGCAGCTAATCAGCACGATTCCCAACCAATATCTTTCGAACGGTTTTTGAATTTTCAAAATCGATTCAGAATTGCGGGCTAAAACGTGGACGAAATTTTTTTCACTTTTCTGCTATTTATAATGAAACGGCTTAGCCGATCGTTGCACAAAACTGACAAACAATAGTCATAGTACATCGAATGGCTTTTAAATTTTTGAAGTTGGTCCAGCCGTTTTTGAGAAAATGTCGACTTACGGCACAAAATCTGTTCACACACACACACATACACACACACAAACTTTTTTCAAATTTGGTCTCTGGCTCGAAACGTCGAGAAAACATACAATTAGCAAATCAGATTTTTTATGAAAACGTAAACTTCTCCTTCGGGAATTAATAAAAGTTTCAGGACTTATATAAAAAGCAATAATTTATATTGTCAGTTTTCGATTGTTATACAGTACTACCAATAATAACAATAGTAACTACCAATCATAAAGATTCACAGTATTTAGTACCAAGGAAAAAGGATATGATAGCGTAGGCATAAGAAAGTTATGTTATCGACTTTGTTATCGCAGAATTAGCCCCACGATGTTTTATTTCAGTGATTCGTAATCATCTTCGTGTGTATTTCAAATTTATTGAACGTTTAATATTTTTTAATAAAAGGGAATGCTTCAATGCACAATGCCATACACCACCAGTTTTTTTTGTGGGCACGATCTCCACTCAAGCATTGTCTTGATTAATTGAGGTATTCATAGAATCTCATTACTCATATGTGACCGCCACGGAGGATAATTTTATATTTTAACCGATTCTGATTATAGCATTGCATAAGAATTATATCTTGCATATTTCAATTATACATAAACACCGTGACATGACACGAACATTCGTTTTTAATTGATAAATGTATAGAGTTTTCAAGGATATTTGCACAACGAATTGCATTGCGTGTATTATTCATTGAACAAACTACTGTATCATCAGTTCACAAAGCAAACAATGGTGAGCAAAATTCATGACAGAGGAAAAACGATTACATTAATTATTTAAACTGAAAATTTTATTTCTAAAAATAAATGATAATTCATATATACTAATTATGACTAGTATTTTTACCAAGCAACTATCATTTGCAATGAAAATAATTCTTATTTGACAAATATCTTTTTGTTGAATACCGGGATCTCGGTCGATTTTTGTCCGGTATTCAACACCGGTATTGATATAAAAATACCGGCTTTTCGGTATTACCGGAATTTTGTTAAAAATTAAACATACGCAACATGTTTTACACATATCGAGCCTAAGTGGCTTTATACTCACTTTAAAACTATACATATACTAAAACATAAAAAATTTTGAATCTCCCCATAATGTCGAATCAAGTGTTTATAAACAGCTTAAATTGTTAATAACAATTGATATCAATAAAAATATAACCAGTATTTTTGTAATATAACCGGTATTGATACCGGAATTCCGGTATTACATTTATTGAATATCTAATACCGGTATTCAGATTTTAGTTCGGTATTGGAAGCCATATATGTTCGCTGAAAAAGGAATGTTTTATTTTTTGTTTTTCTAACATACTACTATTACTTTCTAATAGATTACAAACAATTTTAATAAACTATGCTACTTTTATTTAAAATCTGAAAAAAATGACAAGAACAAGCGTCAAAAAAGCGAACTCTTCAAATTCTGTGCAACCTAATGCCTAATTACTAGTCACTACTAATAACCAATTACTAATTAGAAAACATAATTTTGCCACTTCATTCTGAACTGTACGTTATCAATAGAATTTCAAAGTTACGTTGAAAAAACCTACTGACAAACATGTTTGATTCCAGGAAGTGAAAATGTACGGATACAAATTTTCGTCGACGATTTCCAGAACACGGATCAACCGATTTGAATGATTCAAAAAACATTCGATTACTATTGATAAGAAGACATGCTGATTAGGGCTAGCCCTTCCAAAGATACGGAGCAAAAAGTGAAACAATGATAATTTAATTTTCAATTCAAAAAACATTTTATTCAAAAATCCAATAAAAAAAGTAAAAAAAAGCCATTTGGCAGACAAAAATGATCATTAGACATATGCACATCAAATTATCAGACATTTTACAGATATTTCAATAACAAATTTTGTTTCTAAAATTCTGAATTTTAAAAACAATTGCATATCAAAAATCCAAAGTTTTTTCGAAGTGAAGTATTTAATTTGAATGTACTTTATTTTATTAATCCAAAAATCCCATTTCCAATAATCTATTACCTAATGCTAAACCTTCTTAAATCTATAATGCTGTTGCTTTATAATTAGCAAGTAAATAAGAAATTTTTCGTCAACTTCTTAAACACCATATAAAAAATATGAATTGAAAACTGTACCGAATAGTTTTCAGTAATGTTCCGTCAAGCCGCTTTTAGAATTAACCTTTAAAATATGTTTTGGACTATTAAATAAATACCATCGAATTCTTACAAAGACTTTTTGATTATTCAGTATATTTGTGACTCAAAATATATTTTAAGATTGATGATATATTATTACTAGAGAAATTTCCAAAATGTTTATCCCGACAAACTATGCACCGAATATAGAACTGCATTTTCAAACTTTTCAATAATCCATTGTTCTCATTTTTATTTATTTAATAATTCTTATAAAGGAAATTAATTGTTTTTAACCAGTAAGAAATATTACATTGAGAAATCATTATATTTATAGAAACGGCTTTGAGATTAATTGAACTATCATTTATGTCCATTGTCTATAAAATGAAAGCAAATCATGCGACACAATGAATTGCAAAAAATATTAACAAAAGATTGATTAAAAAACATATACTCTTTTTTAACCTTGAACAGTTTCTAATTTAGCGTGAAGGATTTTTCTTATTTAATATTATTTCTTATTTAGAAATGAAAAAGTAATGTTTTACCTGCCAAGTGCCAAAACCGAGAACAGGCATTTGAGCTCCACTTCCTTTAAGAGTTTTAAAAATTTGACAAGCCATCTGCAATAAAAATAAGCAAGACAACAGTTAATTATAATCATATAAAATCAGAACTCATAGAATTAATAATAATTTTACGACTTATGCGCATTTTTATGGACATATATTAGATTTGTTTCTTTTTTACATACTGCAAATATGTACAGAGCAATTTCTTCCCTAAAGAACAATTTCTCCCGTAACCTAAATCTGAACTAAAGGTGCATGGCATAGTGCCTTAAGGCAAATTGCTGAAACTTCCCGTACTGAAAATTAAAATTTTTGAAAAAGATTCAATTTTCTTTTAGAACCAAAAAAAAGGCGATTTTTGAGATTTTTAAAATTTTTGAAAAAATTGACCTTTTTGAAATATGATTTTTTTGTAGTTTGAAACATTTTAAAAATTTTGAACTTATTTTCAAAGCAATCGCGATACGTTATCTGCGTAGAAACAAAATATCGAAGCGCATGGGCGCCTCGTCGCAGTATAAGGGATAATCATTGGTACGAAACCCATAGAAAAGTAAACAAAATTTGTTCTTAAAATATCTATAAAATATGTGATAATTTGATGTGCATATGTGTAATGATCATTTTTGACCGCCAAATGGCATTTTTTTAACTTATTTTATTGGATCTTCAAAACCGCTAGACTTGCCTTCCAAAAAATTCATCCTTTCTTCACTTTGTTAATGCAAATAAAATGTTTTTTGAATCACACAAATCGGACGCTCCGTTCTCTCAAAAAATCAATTACCATTTTTGGCACTTTTTGCCGCGTATCTTAGAAACGGCTCGTACTTATCAATACGAATCGAATATTTTTTGAATTATTCAAATCGGTTGACCCGTGTTCCCAAAATCGTCGACAAAATTTGTATCCGCACACACACACGCACATACACACACATACATCCATTTTTTCTAGGAATTATTTTAGGTTGATTCGTTAGAGAAATAATTACAGCTACAGCAACTATCCATTTTTATTTCCTAAATATATAATAAGTGGTTTTCAAGATATATTGAAAAAACTGTTACAACAAGTCCCTAGCTCCACTACCATATATTTTTTTATCTCAACGTTCAACTAACAAAAATCAGTTTTGTAACATATTTTTGTTAATTAAAAAATTTAGAAGGACTTATTGAAATCCATTTTATTATATAAAATATAGTAATTATTAAGTTCTAAATAAATAGTGGCAATAGCAGCGTCTTTTCTGAATCTTCTTTTCGCACAAAACCTCAAAAACAAAACGAATTGAATTCTTTCTATGCTAGATATCAAATTCATTTATTATTGGCGAAAATCGATTTGGATCAAATATCAGAAGTCCTATTATTTATTTCATTCTGAAGCCGTTTTTCATGTGCGGCAAAACCGTGATAGGTCAAGTTACAAATTATTCGTACATTAACACATAATAAATTATAATTTAATGTACAATCAATACGACAAATTATTGATTGAGCTAAATAATATTGACTTTTTTCAACATATAAACAAGAATATATGTATCCATCAACGTTCTTATTCTTAAGAAAAGTTCATATTCTTAAATGATGAAATCTTTTGTTCAATTATTATTTAAATTAATAAAATCTGACAAATAGAGAATTTTAACTGACTGAAGAAAAAATTCGTACATTAATATGTATTAAATTATAATTTAATGTTCAATAATATAAAATTCCGAGTCATTAAAGCAACACGAATTATGATAGTTAATAATATTAACTATTATAATATTTTTTATAACATCATACATAATATTTATTCGTAATATGATTTGGATTTAATTTCACGCAAATGTTGATATCACTACGAACCCTCAGTGATTTAATTCAAATAGATTTTTTTATAATTTGAACAAATATTTTGAACAGATCTTGTTAAAAATCATCTTAATTTTGTTTAAGGAATTTGATCAAAGATTAAATGTTTAACATTCTGGAAATATGTTGTAAAACAAAAAATTATCGTGATTTATAATTGAAAACAATTAGTAAAAACATGTGGATTTAACTGAAATTTAAGTTTAAAAATTCATTTTTAATTCTCCATAGGGTAAATTATAGTAATCGCAAAGAAACGAAAATGAAAATTTTTATATTCTTCGTTTCAAACTCAGCAGCCTTTGAATTTTGGCAGAGGTTAGAAAAAAATAATGTATGTATGTGTGTACGGATACAAATACGGATTACGGATTACAAATACGGATTTTTTTACTTGATCTCTGAAATCGCTAGACCTGCTTTCTCAATTTTTTTTATTTCTTTATTTTGTCAATACAAGTAAAATGTTTTTTGAATTATTCAAATCTGACGCTCCGTTCTCTCGAAAACTGGGTTACCATTTTTGGCACTTTTTGACCCGAAACGGCTTGACCTGCCTTGTCCAAAAACTAATTAGCAAGTTTATTTATTGACAGGATTCAAATGTTAATAAGAAGGTTTCGAAGGTTAATCCGTATTGTATTCCCGTAATCGCCGACAAAAATTTGTATACGCACGCACACACACACACACACACATATTTAACAATTCTTTCTAAGGTATGCCAAAATGCTCAAAAACCTTGAAACGTGAAGATATATACAAAAATTAATCTTCAATTTTTTGCGATTACTATTACCTTACCTACGGGAAGTTAATAATTAAAAAATATGTTGGATTATAAATGGTAAAAAAGAACAATCATAACAAACATTTGTCACGCAGATGGACATATTACTATTATTTGGAAACTTTATCAAACTTTGTTACAATAGTTTGTGATTCACAAAGTTTGAAAAAGTGACAAAACACAGATTGTGATACAAATATCACAAATTGTGATGTTTGATTGATTACCACTTATAATTGAACATATTATCTAACTATTGATTTATAAAATGTGCTAATATTTTTTATGATAAGACATGATGTGTATAGTAATATATGAGTAATATTTATTCATAATTATTAATTTTATATAAATATATAAATATAATCATTAATTAACTTCCCGTAGGGCAAGTTATAGTAATCGCAAAAAAACGAAATTGAAAATTTTTATATATCTTTACGTTTCAGAGTTTTCTGAACATTTTGGCATACCTTAGAAAATGTATGTGTGTGTGCGTGTGTGTGCGGATACAAATTTTCGTCAACGATTTCGGGAATACCGATCAACCGATTTGAATAAAACAAAAAAATCATTCGATTCGTATTGATAAGGAGACGTGCTGATTAGTTTATGGCGAAGGCAGGTCTAGCCGTTCCGAAGATACGGGGCACAAAGTGCCAAAAATGATAACTTGGTTTTTAAGAGAACGGAATGTCCGCTTTTAATAATTGAAAAAACATTTTACTTATATTGACAAGATAAAGAATTGATCAAATTTTCATGAAGGCAGGTCTAGCGGTTTCGGAGATCTAGTGAAAAAAGTAAAAAATAAATGCCAATTGGCGGTCAAAAATGATCATTAGACATATGCACATCAAATTATCAGATATTTTATAGAGATTTTAACAATAAGTATAAATTTTGTTTACATTCCTAAGGGTTCCGTACCAATGTTTATTCGTTAGACGGCGACACGGCGCTTACGCGCTTTCGTCTCTATGCAATTAAAGCAGTGCAATTGCTTTGAAAAAAATTTCAGAATTTCCAAAATATGTCAAAATAAAGAAAACATTTTTTTTCAAAAAAAGTAATTTTTTGTCAAATTTATAGTTTATCAAAAATCTAATTTTTTCGAAGTAAATTTTTTTCAACAATGTTAATCATTTTAAAAAAATAATAATTTTTGGTACGGGAAGTTCTAGCAATTTGCCTTAAGGCACGATGCTATGCGACCCACTAGTTTTAAATACAATAATGTGTAGTATATAGTGAAAATATGAGTAATATTTATTCATAAACAATAATTTTATATAAATATAGCGGTGTCAAACAAATTTCACCGTTAATGATGACACGCGGCTTCGTTCCTTCTTTTGTATACTCATTGTCAGTTTGTATAAATGTCAAAGACAAACTAAAATCGCTGCATACTTTTAAAATATACATTTAATAAGTTTTGTTTAAATTAACAATAATGATTTGTTTATATTGAATATCGTTTATGTGATATATCCGTATGTCACTGACCTTTATCTCTTGTTTTCGAAATCGAATAGAATCCTCCGTCCGCGCTGCACAAACGACTTTGTTCTACTGACCGTCTCCAAACATAAAACCAGTACTTAAAGTTAAACATAACGCATTACTTTCTTCGATTCTCAAGCTGTGTTCCGGCATTGTTAGCCATTCAATACAATCATTGATTCTTGTAAAAGTAAACGAAAGATATATGAAACTGGCGATGCATGGTATAAGTCTTGAGGCAATTTTCTAGAACTTCTCGTACCAATTTCAATTAATTCTTTTAACTAGTGGTGCATCGTTCCTTAAGGCAAATTGCTGTAACTTCCCGTACCAGAATTAAATATTCGAGGGGAAAAATCAGTAATCAATGAATATTGATCAATGATTAATAACAATTGTTTTAAACATTGTCAAATAGATAGTTATAATTACTATATATTTCATCGTTAATAAAATATACAGTGTCGATCTTATCGTTCAAAACACTTGAGAAAGTTTACATTAGCAAGAGGTCCGAATGAATCCATCTGAGGATATATTTCTTACGATTAGAATAACGCATTTGAAATATATACATTTTCAAACTGATTTGTAAATTTAAAATTCATATTTGAGGCATAAAACTCACTGAAGTTTGCTCAAACCGTATAATAAAACTTTAAAAATTAAAAATCTTGATACAGAACCCAACAAAACTGTAACAAAATTAGTACTCCTTTTTGTGCATATGTCTAATTATCATTTTTTTTAACTGTTTCCTCTGTATCTCCGAAACCGTTTTTGGCACTTTTTGCCCCGTATGTTTGATACGGCTAGACCTGTTAACGCCAAAAAAAAATTCAGCACATCTTCTCATCAATAGAAATCGAATGTTTTTTGAATCATTCAATTCGGTTGATTCGTGCGCCCGAAATCGTGAACAAAAATTTGTATCCAAATGTACATACAAACACACACACACATACATTCATTTTTTCTAATGTATGCAAACTGTTCACAAACCTTTGAAACATAAAGATATGGAAAAATGTTCATTTTTTATTTTTTTGCGATTACTATAACTTACTCTGTGGGAAAAAAAGTTTTAATCTTTTTTAAAAGCTTAGACTTTTGAAAATTTTGAAGTATTTTTTTTTCATATATTGAAATTTGTTGAAAATCTTGAACTTTTTTCAAACCAATTGTGCTGCGTAGCTATTTTAGAGATGAAATATCGAAGCGCGTTAGTCTAACGGTTAAATATTATATTATAAATATTGGTACAGAACCTGTAAAAATATTTAAAGAAATACTGCTTTGTATTAAAATCTCTATAACAATTTTAATAATTTCATGCGCATATGTCTAATGATTATTTTTTACTTCCAAATGGCATTCTTTTTAACTTGGCGTAGGGTAAGTTATAGTAATCGCAAAAAAACGAAAATGAAAATTTTTATATATCTTTATGTTTCAAAGTCTTCTGAACAAATCTGCGTACTTTAGAAAAATTGATGTATCTGTTTGTGTGAGTGTGCGTGTATGTGCGGATACAAATTTTCGTCGGTCGCTAATAATGACAATTCAGTTTTTGAGAAAACGAAAAATCCAATATGAATGATTCAAAAAACATTTTACTCGTATTAACGGGATAAAAAGTTTTTGAAAATTTTGGGAGGGCAGGTCCAGTGGTTTGTGAGATCCCCAATAAAAAAAGCCATTTTGCGGTAAAAAATGATCATTAGACATATGTGCAGAGCCGGATTTAAAAATTTGGCACCTTGGGGCACTGACGAAATAGAAATATAATTAGTTAATTATATTATATAGCATTTTATTCTCACTTTCCAAATTTTTCCGCTCCAGAAAATTTGCCGCCCTGTGTACTTTTTAAAACTTTTAAAAATTTTACATTACGGCACTGGAGGATCTAGCAATTTGCCTTAAGGCACTTGAAACTAATAAAAAGGTAGAGTAAAGCCAAATGTAGACTTGAAGACATTTATAAAATTTAATTGAATATGTTAAAATTCTAAAACTACAAGAACGTTTTTCTTGTACCTGTTCTTTGCGCTGTGTTTGCTGACTTACATTTACAATCTGTTAATTTCTTCGAGGGAGCAACCCAGTAATTGACCGCTCTTCTTCGACATTACTATTACTATATCACATAGTACATCTAATAGTGTTGGCTTGTAGTGATGCAGCAATGCCCGCATCGTACTGCTTGATATCGAGCTTGGCCGAGGTTGGGATCGAATCCGAGATTAGTTTGTGCTAGTCCACGTCTTGACGGATACACCACGGCTGGCTCTAAACTGCAAGAATTAAGCTAGGAAATATGAAATATGAATTGAATATTGTTCTAACCTTTCAATTTCCAAATTGTTTCAGTCGTTTTCTGCAAAACGTGGTACATGGACACTAACATACACGCATTATAGATATATAAAAATATTCAGAAGATCGTAAAACAACTATGCCTTAACTTAAGACCCTTAAGGAAAATTGTTGGTACTTGCTGTACAGTAATTAATTAATTAAACCATCCTTATCTATGAATTAAACATTCGGAGAATAAAATTAATCGATAATTAATAATAAACTCAAATTGATCAATGATTATTAAAAATTGAATTAATTAATGATAAATTATTGTAAATACTGTAAATTTTATCATTTGTATTTTGTAGATCTAAAATATTTGCTAACTAACATTCTTATACTAAAAAATAATTAGAAACGATTATTAAAAACGCATAACATGATAAAGAAGGCTTGTGTAACCTGGAAACCGTTAATATTCATATATATCTCTATATAAATAATTTATAAATTAATCATCTGAATCCAGTATTTCTGAAATATTGAGTATAATAAATAATCAATGAAACTAAACCAATAAGAAATTTATATATAATAACACTAGTAACCAAATTATGTTGCTTTCAATTTCGATTAGAGCTTATAGAATATTTGTTCACCAGTTTCATATTTGACAATATTTCTTCTTTCTTCCCTCATTTAATATTGAATAATTTGCTACAAATTCTTTAATTACTAATATTAATATGCCATCAGATAAAGGCAGAGCTTAACACATTAAATAATTCAAAGAAAGTTTGTTAATGTGTATTGTGAGTTTGATATTGATCCGGTAAGTACATGTAATTAAAGGAAAAATAATTGCTGTCTAATATTCCATTAGCCAAATGGTAATGGTTTATGATAAATGATAAATGATTTCTATAATGCCTTTTATTATATTTCAGCAATGTGAATCGTTGCTTTAAAAGATTTAAGAAGAAGCACTTTGAATTTTATTATAGCAACGGGAATGAACAATGGAAACAATCCCAAATGAAGCATAAGTTAAAGTTTTTGAGAACTCTACATGAATCATCATAAAAGAATATAATTTTTACACATTTTTCTTCTTTTTGGACAATGTTCCGGTTTCATGTGAAAAAAGAAAAATACCGTATTCGATAATAAAATGCGTAGTAATATTTACAAATACAGTGGTACCCCGCCTTACGAGCCTAATTCGTTCCTTAAGCTTCCATGTCAAACTGTTCGTATTATCTCGAAGCAATTTTTTAAGTAAAACTTCTGAAGTAAAACGACTCTCTAGGCGCGACTAGGGTGTAAATCCGTACAAATGCAACGGAAGTGAGTTACGGCAGATAAGAGTCGAGTGCCAATGATTTGTCATTCGCTCTCGATGTTGTTACATTGTAGTACAAATGTTGATTTAATGAAAAATGACAAATCAGAATAATATTTTACTCTATTCCTTGAAAATAATAAAACAAATTAAACATTTGTACTAAACGTAAGTTTATTGATTAGAAATTATTAACTTCCCGTAGGGTAAGTTATAGTAATCGCAAAAAAATCGAAAATGAAAATTTTTATATTTCTTTACGTTTCAGAGGTTTCTGAAATTTTGGCATACCTTAGAAAAAATGGATGTATGTGTGTGTGTGTGTGCGGATACAAATTTTCGTCGACGATTTCGGGAACACTCAAATCATGCGGTTATATTGATATATAAACAAAAAAATCATCAACCAAAAAATAATACAAATAAATCAAATCAATCAATACGTTATCAAAAACAATATTAAAATTATTATAAATACGATGTAATTTATGTAATTAAAATAAAATAAATATTACTAGTTACAAATTAGAGTATTTTCTAATTGGTCCTTCAAAAAGCAATCAATCACAACAATCATCCAAATAAACAATTATTCAAAAAACATTTGATTCCTATTCATAAGGACACGTTCGGATTAGTTTTTGGCATAGGCATGTCTAGCCGTTTCGAAGATACGGGGCAAAAAGCGCCAAAAACAGTAACTCAGTTTTTAAGAGAACGGAGCGTCCGATTTTTAGTAAATCGAAAAACATTTTACTTAAATTGATAAGATGAAGAACTGATCGATTTTTTGGGAAGGCAGGTCTAGCGGTTATGGACTCTCATTGAAAATAAGTTAAAAAAGTGTTATTTGGCGGTCAAAAATGTTTATTGGACATATGTACATTAAATTATCAGATATTTTATTGAGATTTTAATAATAGTGCACATTTTGTGTAAATGTTTTTGGGTTCCACAAAAAAAGTAAAAAAAAAATACAAACAGTCAATAAATGTATGTTAATTTTAATTGTATGAAGTTCTTCAAACACAATTACACGATGAGTGCAGTTGCGAAAACAATATTTGTTTATGCGTTGTTTAATATAATCCACTGTGTGAACGAATATTATAGAATAGTTTTCAAGACAACCACCGTTTTGAAAATAAAGTCTTTTGCATTGCTTTTACAATGCACTTCGTAAATCTATCAAAGAAATGGTTAAACTCGTAAAAATTTTAGCAACTCTTTGAAAACTGTATCTGCTGAAGTGAGCAGCTCGAAGGGAGGTTTATGATGTGCGAACTTCACAAATCAATGATCAACTTTTTCTTCCTTGTTAACTTCCCGCAGGAGAAGTTTATGTTTTCATAAAAAATCCGAATCGCTAATTTTATGTTTTCTCGATGTTTCAAGCCATTCTGAATCGATTGAGACCAAATTTGGAAAAAGTATGTATGTGTGTGT